CTTGGGATGTCTTGAACGCGTCGTGGGCCGTCTGGAAGCCATCTTGGGCGTCTCGGACCGATTGTGCCATCGCTAGCGTTTAGGGGCTTCTTGCGGGGTTCTCTTGGGTGCTCTTGGTGGCCTCTTGGAACCTCTTGGGGGGCTCTCGGGGGCTTTTTGTGGCATCCTGGGCGCCTCTTGGAGTCGAGGGCTCGAAATGTCCATTCGGGTTCCCCGTCTGGCCCACTCTTGTGGCCGTCCTGGGGACATCTTGGGCAGTCTTGGAGGCCTCTTGGGCCGCCGTGGGGCCCTCTTGGGGCTCTCTTGGAGGCCTCTTGGGCCGTCTTGGGGCGATATTTGGGGCCTCTTGGGCCGTCTTTGAGCGTCGGGAAGCCGAACAGATGAGAACGCAAAATCCTTCAAACACCGGAGGGACATCGATGGTTTGCGCCTCCTGGGGCCCTCCTGAGACGCTTCTTCGAGGCCTCTTTGGGCGTCTTGGGGGCGTCTGCGGCCGTCTGGAGGCTGTCTTAGGCGTCTTGGACCGATCGGTCGGCGACTCGGAGCCCTCTTGGACCGTCTTGGGGACTCTTGGGGCCCTCTAGGAGCGCTCTGGGGAGCTTGAAAGCCGCGCCTAGAAGGAAAAAACATCTCTGGATCGGACCGCCCGGGGTACTTTTCTTCCAGGGACCCCCAGGAGCCGCCCCGCGCGCGCGAACTTGAAGTATTGTTTACCAGGAGCCGCAGATCATAGCACGCCTCCAGCCCGTTGGGCCGGCGAATTCGTGTTTGTTGGATGTTCTTGTGCATCCTGGGGGAGGGAACCCTCGAATGTTCTTCTGTTTGCCCGCTGGAGGGTTTCATATTCTTGAAGGATGTTGTTCTGTCCGAGGGCCGTCTGTGCACATAGAATCGGGCAAAGGTGGCTTCCCCATTGTGTTTACAATCCGATTGTTCTCGATGTTTCGAAAGGGTGCCCCCGCTGCAGCGTGGGCCTCGTTTTCGAATCGGCGCCTTGATCCCGTCGTTCAGAATGGCGCTCTCGCCCAGCGTGGGCCACTTCTCTGGATCCGAGTATGTTGTCATCGTTGTCACCCCCCCTCATTTCCCTTCCTCCGCCTTCGCGAGGTTTTCCTGCTCCTCCCGCTCCTTCCACTTCAGTTCGTGCTGTTACTGTTCGTCCTCGTCATCGTCCTTCCGCATCGTCCTCCTTTTCCTCCTGCGCATCCTCCTGCTCACCCGCCACCTCCTCTTCCCACGTACTCAGCCCCCTTTGCTGATTGCGCATTACACGAAGTGGGGTCCGCATGTTGGAAAGAGCGTGTTCTACCGCCGCTGCTGGCGGAAAACCGGGGGGGGGTAACTGGGGGTTCCTAACCCGCCCCCCCCCCCCCTGAAAACCGGAGGGGGAGGGTCACTACCGGTTCGAACCCCTCCCCCCAGTCCATCATGAAAAGGGTCACTACCGGTTCGAACCCCGCCTCCCCCCCTCGAAAACCAGGGAGGGTTACTACCGGTTCGAACGCCCGCTCCCCTCGAAAACCAGGGGGGGTCATTACCGGTTCGAACCCCTCCCCCCCCCCTCGCCGCCGCCAAACGATGCCCGCTCTTCGGGACAGTTGGAAAATGGTGGGGATGTTGGGACAGTGGTGGGAACAGTGGTGGTGGGGACAGTGGTGCGGGGACAGTGGGACAGTGGTGCGGACAGTGGTGGGGACGGTGGTGGTGGGGACAGTGGTGAGGGGACAGCGGGACAGTGGTGGGGACAGTGGGACAGTGGTGGGGACGGTAGTGGTGGGGACAGTGGTGAAGGTGGTGGTGAGGACAGTGGTGGGACAGTAGTACAGTGGGGAAAGTGGTGGGGACAGTGGGGACAGTGGGACAGTGATGGGGACAGTGGGGACGGTGGGACAGCACAGTGGGACAGCGGCGGGGACAGTGGGACAGTGGTGGGAACAGTGGGACAGTGGGACAGTGGTGGGGACCGTGGGGAAAGTGGGGAGAGTGGGACCGTGGTGGGACAATGGTGGGGAGAGTGGGGACAGTGAGACACTGGTGGGGGGCACTGGTGGGGACAGCGGGGACAATGGTGGGAACAGTGGGGATAGTGGGACAGTGGTGGGGACAGTGGTGGTGGGGACAGTGGTGTGGGGACAGTGGGAACGTGGTGGAAACAGTGGGACAGTGGAGGGTACAGTGGTGGTGGCGACAGTGGTGAGGGCGGTGGCGAGGACGGCGGTGGGATAATGGGACAGAGGTACAGTAGGGACAGTGGTGGGGACAGTAGGGACAGTGGTGGGAACAGTGGGACAGCTCAGTGGGACAGCGGCGGGGACAGTGGGACAGTGGGGACAGTGGGACAGTGGTTGGGGCCGTGGAGAAAGTGGGGAGAGTGGAACCGTGGTGGGAACAGTGGTGGGGACAGTGGGGACAGTGCGACAGTGGTGGGGGCACTGGTGAGGACAGTGGTGACGGTGGTGGGAACAGTGGGGACAGTGGTGGTGAGGACACTGGTGCTGGGGACAGCAGTGGGGGATGTGGTGCGGACGGTGGTAGGGACCCAGAGTTGTGTGCTGGCGGTGAGCGTGGGGTGGGGGGGGGGCTTCAAGCCAGTTCGAACCGGTTGACCCCCCCCCGGTTTTCGGGGGGGGGTTCGAACCGGTAGTGACCCCCTCTGGTTTTCTGGGGAGGGGGGGGGGTCGAAGCGTAGTCGGAACCCCTTCTCCGTTTTCTGGAGGGCGTGGGGGGGCTTGAACCGGTAGTGGACCCTTGCTGGTTTTCTGTGGGGGGGCCTCGAACCAGCAGTGACCCCCTTGGTTTTCCGGAGGGGGGGGGTCGAAACGGTAGTGACTTCCCCCTGGTTTTCCAAAGGGGGGGGCGGAGGTTAGGGGAGGGGGGGGGGGTGCCAGAGGGAAAGGGGGGTGGGGGTGGGGGGGGGATTCCAGCAGGGGGGGATTTTCGGAGGGGGGGGGCCCGGGTTCCGGAGGAAGAGGGGGGGGGAATTTTCCACAGATAGAGCGGCGGTGGGTCACAGCTCTCTCTTATCTTGGAGCCCCAGGTCGGCTATGACACGCGTCTGCGGATGGAGCACCAACCAGCGCCACGAGAAGGGATGGGAGGGAGGGAGGGAGGGGATGTCAGATGCGGGCGCGAGCGCGCCCGGCTCGCTCGCCCCACCCCCCCCTCGCCCATCCTCGCCCCCCCCCATTCCTTCCCCGCCCCTCCTCTCCCGCTTCGACTCCCCCCCGCCCCCCTCGCCCCGATCCCCCCCCGCTCCCGCCCCCGCCTCCCGCCCCCGCCTCCCGCCCCCGCTGTTGCTACTGGTGGGCCCGCGCGTCCGCCGACAGCCGTCTTATACCCGCCCCCGCCCCCTGCCCCTGCAGCCTGCCCCCCCGGCCGCCGCCGAGGCCGCCGCCGAGGCCTCCGCCGAGGCGCCCGCGGCGGGCCCGGCGCCGCGCGCTGGCGGCGCCGAGGGGCGTTCGCTGCCGACGGCGTCGAGGCGCCCGCCGCCGTGGGCCGTTCGCGGGCGCGCTCCGCCGTTCGCGCCGCCGCCCTCGCCGTCCGCCGTGTGTCGGCCGTGCGTCCGTCCCTCCGCCCGTCCGTCCGTCCGTCGCCGCTGCCGTCCTCCGCGCTTCCGTAGTCCGCCGTCCGTCGTCCGTCGTCCGTCGTCCGCCGTCGTCGTCGTCGTCGTCGTCGTCGTCGTCGTCGTCGTCGTCGTCGTCGTCGTCGTCGTCGTCGTCGGCGTCGGCGTCGGCGTCGGCGTCGGCGTCGGCGTCGGCGTCGGCGTCGTCGGCGTCGTCCGTCGTCGGCGTCGTCCGTCGTCGTCCGTCGTCGTCCGTCGTCGTCCGTCGTCCGTCGTCGCCGATCCTGGTCATGGTCCATGCCGGCCGTCGCCCCGAGTCGGCTGTGTCTGCTACAGGAGGAGGGGGGCCGATCGTCCTGCAAGGCGTCCTGATTTTGCCACGCGGGTCGTCCCGCATGGACTTTCAAATCGATCCGCTGGCGACCCGCAACCGTTCCGCGCGCGGTGCGCAGATCGATCCGCCATCGACCCGCCATCGTCCTGCAATCGTTTTGCGTGGATTTACGACTTCGGTCGAATTTTTGAGAAACTGTCATCGGTCGTTGCTCGCACGCACGGCATGCAGTGCATGCTACCCTGGAATGACCGTGGGTGGGTGCTTGTGGGGGTCAGACACCGCCGACTCGTTTGAGGAGGGTGGCTTTACCAAAAAGGGGAGCGAGCACGAGTGCGCGAACAAGGAGGAGGAGGAGGAGGAGTGAAGGGGCAGGGGGAGGAGGAGGGAGAAAGAGGAGGAGGACACCTTCCCCCTCCTCCTCCTCCTCCTCCTCCTCCTCCTCCTCCTCCTCCTCGTCTTCGTCCTCCCTCCTCCTCCCCCTCCTCTTCCTTCCTCCTCCTCCTGTTCCTCCTCCCTCTCCCCTTCCCCCTCCTTCACCTAGTGTCCTCTTCCTCGCTCCTTCTCCTGCCACTCCTCCTTCCTCGTCCTCCTCCCTCCTGGCGGGTTGGAGCGGCGGCGGTTGGCTTTCGCCTTCAAGACGCGCCCGAAGGACGGGCGGCGGGGGGGGGGTCTCCTGCCTCCTTCCTCCTCTCTCCTCCCTGGCTCATCTTCCTCCCTCCTCTTCCCTTCTTCCGCTCCTCTGCCCCTCCTCCTCCCTCCTTCCTCTCCCCTTGGGCCCCCCCACGGTCCTCAGCCCTGGCGGTGCGACGGACCGCTCCGCTCCTGACTCCTCGGCCTTGGCTGGCAGCGGAGCCGCACCAGATAACTCAATAGGGTAGAGCCGCGTGTCTCGAGGCATGGGCCTGTTTTGTCATACCCTCATGACTCATGTTCGTTGTGTTGGTCTCATCCTCTCTACTCGTAGTCACCATCGTCATCAGATGCCGGGCGAGCGGCGAGGCCATCCCCACATGGGGCCACCGAAGCCACGATCGAGGGCAGTGCCGAGGCCGGTGGCAGAATCCAGCAGCGAGGCCGTGATCGAGGCCCCCGTGGGGGAACCTCGCTCTGGAATCTACCGCCCTCGACCTCAGCATCACCCGCGACGGTGGCGTCCGTGGCCCCCTCGTGCCTCTCTTGTTTCCTCTTCACGGCCTCCGCGGCCCGATCCCCAGTGGGCTGGAGCACGCTCTGCCGCTTGCCAAACTTCTGGCGCTCGCGCTTGATCTGGCGCGTCCTCGTGTCGCGCTCCTCGGGCCCGTACTGGGCCAAACCGTCGCCGTTGAACAGGCGCAACAGCACCGCCTCCGTGCGCGTGGCCCCGAGCGCAGAGATCATCAAGCCAGCCTCCTTGATGACCGCGGCGTCCGTCGGCAACCCGACGAGGTGTCACGCGTCCTGGTAGCTCTGCAGCGTCGCCTGAATCCGCTCCGCCTGCACGTGCAAGTCGGGCTGCTGGAGCAACGATTCACCGCAGGTGCCGAAGCAGTCGGTCAACGTCGAGGTGTTCGCCAGGCTGGAATGCCAACTCTGGCCGTCCTCTCCGTCATGCTGGCGGTTCTTGTTGTCGGCCATCGCATTTTTCAGGTTTTCAAGGGCATCGTTGGCGTGAGCAGTCTTGACCTCCGGAGTGCACCGCTTGTACCTTGTACTCACCAAACGCGTCGCTCATCTTCTTCGAGTGGGGCTCCTCTGGTAGAGAGCACGAGCGCCTGTCGTATTCCACCATCTGGGCGAGAAGGCGCTTGATCGAGGTCGCGGGGCCATCGGCAGCCTGGGCGTTGGTCAAGTCACCTTCCTTCAAGGTCTCCAAGGTGAGGGCGATGTCGGCCTCCAGCTGCAAGCGCGATGCGAATGCTTTCCGACCCTGTCCGAGGTCACTCGGGTGCAGTACCGACCCCGCGGGGACGACTGCCTCCCCTAGAAGTGCCTGGGTCACGTCGCCAGCCCGGTAAAGGACGTGCGCTGCGGAGGCCCCGCGCTTGAGCAATGCGCCGACCTTGGAGTCCTCCGCAAACTTCGGGCGCTTCTTCTGCTTTTCCGCCGTGAGAGCATCAACGGATTCCTGAACATCAAACTCTGGGTCAAAGCAACCCGAGATGCCGGCAGAAACGGTCTCGTCAAGCTCGGTCGCAGCCACGGCTTGCGCAGTGGAGGCACACCAGGTGGTGATGTCGTCGATCACGTTCTCGGACGGCCTGACGTCCTTCGCAGAGTTCGCGCAGCGAGCCAAGCTCCCCACCTCGATCTTCGTGAGCGAGATGCCCTTACTTGTGCCGATCGACCCCCAGACGCGCTGCAAACTGTGAACGAGGTTGATCTCCCACTGCTTGGTAGCACCTGGCACCAATACCTGCTGTGCGCGCTGAAGCTGCTCCAAGGGCGAGGTGAAGCTGTTGGTGAACTCAACGCCATCTGATCCGAAACCGTTCAACCGATACATGGCCTTCATCGCAGAGTCCATCGTCTTCACTGCAGACGCCATGTCGGGAGAATGTTTGAACGCGCGAGTGGCCCTGAGCTTGTAGAAGTCACCGTGGTAGAGGGCTAGCATGGCATTGGCCTTGACGGTTTCCTTCTTGTCCTGGAACTCCTTCGTCGCCGCCCGGAGCGCAGCAAAATGGTGCGAAGCAGGAGTGCTAGCCACGACTGCAATGACAGCGCGGATCGCATCCAGGAGATCGTGCGTAGCCACAGGGGCAGAATTCAAATCCTCGAGCGCAGCCTCGAAGGTCGTCCCCAAAGACGCGCGCAGCGCAAGCGTGATTTCGAGGGCATCCTCCCCGCGCTGAGCAATCATGGGGATCAGCTCGTGGACAGCCACCTTGGCACACTCCAGGATCCTCCCATCGAGCCCAAGACGGAGGTGGGACACCCTCGGGCTGAGCAGAGCGAACCCTGGCGAATCCGCGACGATTTGGACGTCGGCGTCCTCCTGCAGGCTGTCCGAGTGCGTCTCCCCGCCGACGACGTTGTCGTCCTTGCTCCTGAACGGGCTCGCCACTGCGACCGCGTCAGAGACGTTCGCCAGTTGAGCGCCATCCTCCTCGGCCTTCGCGAGGACGAGGAGCATCTTCTGGCAGGCAAGCGCGCGCGTGAGCTTCGCACGCGCATGGTCTGGGCACTCGACCTTCACCCCGCGGAGCGTGCGATCAGCGTTCCCCGAGCTCTCGCTGCCAGAGGGGTTAGCCGCAAGCTCGCCCATCAGAGCGGCCGCGGCGTCGGTCATATCCAAGAAGGTCTCCAATCTGCCAGCCTGCGCGGAGGGGGCGAGCAAGAAGACGAAACAAATGCGACGAAATGGAAGAAGTTGGCCGAGGAGAGCAGTGAACTAAGGATAACGGAAAGGAGAATGGGAGGAACGAGGAGAAGAAGAGGCGAGACGAGCCAGAGAAGGAGAGGGCGAAGGGTGACGGTAGGAGGACAGGATGGGGGGGGAAGGAGAGCAAGGAGAAGAGTAGGAAGGACAGGAAGTTGAGGGCGGAGGAGAGCGACGCAGGTGCTGAGGACGGTAAGCAAGGAGGAGGCTGAGGAGAGCGATGCACACACTGAGGAAGGACAGCAAGGAGGAATATGAGAGAGGAGGACAGTAGGAAGGAGAGCAAGAAGGATGATGATGCAGGTGCTGAGGAAGGAGGTGAAGGAGGACAGGAGGGGAGATGGGAAGGAGGAGGTGAAAGCGAGCAGGCTTAGGAGGATAGCAAGAGGAAACGGATGAAGGGAGGAAGACCATCGCGCCTGAAGCGCAGTCGCAACTGCTCCAAGCAGGCGCTTGACACAGTTGCGAGCCCACTGCATGCGCCTGGTGAGCTTGGGATCCCTGGCGAAGGCGTTCGCGACCGTGCAGACGCTGTGCCAGAAATCTGGCGACCGAATGCGAGCCTGCGCCTCCCCCCGGTCGCCCTCGTCGTGGCAGTCAGTGTCCAAGTCGGCCAACTGCGCCGGCATTGGCAACGCTGCGTCGGTGCCAGCCGCGGAGGGGGCGGGGCTGCCAGAGCCACGGCGCGACGCGTTACTGCCAGCTGCTGCGCCAGGACCATCGACGCCAGAAACAAGGGCTCCCTCGAGGGCGCGAAGTTATTCGCGCTTCGCGCTTCGCGGTCCTCGTTTCTCCTCCCCCTCCTCCTCGTCCTCCTTTTCTCCCTTTGGGGGGGCGGCGCGAGGGCGCGAAGTTATTCGCGCTTCGCGCTTCGCGCAGCGCGAAGCGCGAAGTTGGGAGCCCTAGTCGATGCCAGAAAGCACCGACCTGGCATCGTCTCCTGGCGCCCCGTCTGGAAGCCCGAGCCGCGTCGCCGTTCTCGGGGGGGAAATTGCGTAGCCATCGGGGGGGCGAATGCAAGGGCGCCCTCGAGGGCGCGAAGTTATTCGCGCTTCGCGCTTCGCGGTCCTCGTTCCTCCTCCTCCTCCTCCTCGTCCTCCTCTTCTCCCTTTGGGGGGGCGGCGCGAGAGCGCGAAGTTATTCGCGCTTCGCGCTTCGCGGAGCGCGAAGCGCGAAGTTGGGAGCCCTTGGCGAATGGCGCACCCCCCCCCCCCGAGCTCGCTGCCCTGCTGCGCCCTCCGGCACCAGGAGCAGACCAGCCATTTCCACTCGGAGGCGGCGAAGCGGAAGGTGCACGCGCGGCTGCCGCAGCCCCGCGCACTGTTGGCAGGCCCTGGTGCTTCTGGGATTCCCTCTTGCGGTCGAACTCCTCGAGGGCTCCCTTGACCTGCTCGTCGGTGTAAGTCTTGATGCCCTTGTTCCTCGGCTGGTACTTGCTCGCGAACGCGCCGCCCCGCATGTCGTGAAACCGCTGCAACTCGTTGTCGAAGGCCACTTGGCCCTGCGACTCGAACGCACGCATGCTGCTTCGTGAGAGGCTGCTTCATCACGATGCGGGTGTTCAGGTACCTCACCACCTTCTGCGCTGGAGCTCCAGCACTGGTCGTGGCATCGGAGGCGTCGCAGGGCCGCAGCAAGCCCGTCTCGGTCATGCCACCAGGAAAGTCACGCCTCAAGCCAGCCAACTTGACGTCCTCCATGGCCACCCCGTAGGTCTCATGGAAGGAATCCTTGTTCTCGAACGCCGCGGCCCCCTCGACATCCACGCCGCCAGTCGTCTCCTTATAGGCCTCGCACTTGCCCCATGATGTCGGAGCCCGGGGATGTATAATCGAAGCCTTGTGTTATGATAAGTCCTTCTGGCATGGACTCGGCTTGCCCTCCTCGTCAGCCTGCTGCCTCGCCTTGCACAAGGCGGCGACGCCAATGTACCTCAAGGCGGCGAAGACGGCGCACCCTTCGCACGCGGGCCCGATGGGAACCGTGACATGGTTACTTCTCGCGTCCACCTGAAGCTCCTTCTCGGCCCAGTTGGAGCAATCTGGCAGGCACTTCTCGCCGCAGGACCCGCAGGCGCATCCGGCCGTCGAGGAGGCCCTCGTGCCACGCTTCGCATGCGGCGCAGACGCTCCGTCCTCAGTGGCCGCCGCTCTCCCGCCCCCCATCGGCTCGCGAGGGGCCCAGAAGCAAGCGCGCCGAAGGAGGCGCCGCGGGTTGGGGTCTGCTCCGCGCCGCTGACACGGCGGACCAGCCACGCTGGCGACTGTGCGCCAGTGCACGGTCGGGGCCAAAACGGCTTCCATCGCCATGATCCATGATCATCACATCGACATCAACACTTGCCAACACCATCATCATGTCCCATGGCATTTGGGCCCCGATCTACATCTCCATGTGGAAGGCCATGACATCGCCGCCCTCCGATGCAACACAAGCACACATTTTTGCAACTGTAGACCACACGCAACGCAACGCGATGATCTGAGGCGCAGGGCGAGAGACAACAAACAGACACGCCAACGAGGATTGACACCTTGCGGGTCACACCGCCGCTCTCTGGCCCTCGGGACCTTGACCACTTGTTTGCTTGTCTGGACCCCTCCCCCGCACACCTGCGCGTCGAAGCAGCTGTTGGCCACGGAAGATGGGGTGGGCTAAGCGAACATGAGGTGATCGTATATGGCCTCCTCCTCCTCCTCCTCCTCCTCCTCCTCCTCCTCCTCCTCCTCCTCCTCCGTTAACGATGGCAAAGGTCACGCGCATCGAGCGGGGGCAACGTTGGACAAACATCCACCACCTAGAGGGGCAAGGCATCATGTCAGCGGCTGGCGCTCCATTTCTCAGATGGTTGTTCAACAACCCCTGCTGTGACCCTCTTGTCCAAACACGGCCCAAGCTCCAACACGTGTGCCCTCTGTCAACTGGACGCACGCACGGATGACCGAGCAAGTTGTTGTTTGAAAACTGTTGTAGGGTGCGTCCCCGAAAAGGCATGTGACTTTAGATGCAGGGCCCGTGAGCGAATGCTTCAGACGCAGGACGCCGGGGCGAGGCTGGGCCCTTTAATGGTTTCCCCTTCCACGCCATCATATGGAACTCTCTGTGCCCCTTCCCCCCCCGAAGATGCGACGTCGCGCCCCCCTCTTGGAATTCTAAGAATGCCACCTTCCATAGACTCTTGGGGGCGGGCTGCGCAAGCGCACGAACCCAGATTGGTGTGGGAAGGCTCCCGAAACATATCAAATTGCAGGGCCCCTTGTGGAAAGCTCATGGCCCTTCGATGATAGGCCTGGACCACGACCCGAGGAACGACCACGACCGAAACGACGACGATCGGAGGAAGGAGAGAGGAGGCCTCCAGCGATCACTCGCACAGAGGGCTTGGACTCTCGTCTTCGAGACGTACAGTCGGAGAAGCAGATGTGCGGAGCTGCTTGGAATCGACCGTGCAAGAATGCAAGTAGGCAAAGAGGGGGGGGGGGGGGGGGGCGAGGAGCTGAGGAAAGAAAGGGTTGCGCATATCCTCCATAAATGACGTCCAGAGTGGGCGAGGAGATTGAGGACAGAGGCAACGAGCTTTCTGACACTGGCTCGCGCGGACTAATCATCATCTGACTTTCCCTCTGTACTACGGCCAAGAGGCGCGGGCACTCTCCGCGCGTCGTGGGATTGCTGCGCCCAGTGACTCGGAGGCGCTTCAAAAAGGTGATGCACGACGCCATCGTTTACAAATGCAGCTGCAAGGTCTTGCCCGAGGCGCCGCGTCAGCAACTTGAGGTATAGAATCGCCCGCATGCAGCAGCAAGGGGAGAAGGCCGCTGAGAAAGATGACGAGATGGAGTCTGCCACCGAGGCACACATCGAAAGGGGCCTCGTGCTTGAGAAAGCTGCAGGTGCGAGGGTGCTGGGGCCCCGGAACCTCGACGCACACATGCGACGGACATGCGCACCGGTCGCCTTCAGCATCCAAGGGGGGCTGCTCTGAAGGACGTGTGCGATGCAAGGCGTCGGACAGGAGGTGGCGTTCGACATTGAATACATCTTGCCACACGCACCCAATGGATGTGGTTAAAATATTCGGGGGCAACAAATGACTAAACGCACGCCTCGTCGCGCGTCTCCAAGAACCTTTCGCTGTGGTTTCCACGAACTGTTCTTAGAATTGTTCTGTTTTAGATTGTCTTGTTTTATCACATCGGGTTTATGTTCTAAGAACATTGTTTTTGTTCTTAGAACACTTTCGGGCTCTAAGAACATTTCGTGGTATGACCATAGGAGTGCCGGGACGGTCGGTCCCTGCTCAACAATGTCGGCGGCGTGCATCCACTGAGGGCAGAAGATCCCGATCTCGGCGATGGTGGTAACATTCTGGGCGCCGTGTCGGGCGCCCGGACCCTCACAGATCGATGCGGCTCGTTCGCGAATTTTGGGCGAGGGGGTCTGGGACTCTGGCCGCGGTCCTTGCTGCGGTGTTGCAACCTGCTCGCAGCCGGAGCTCAGGGCCTTCTCGTGTCAAGACGGCCCCAGGGCCCCCCTGGAGGAGGAGGAGGAGGAGGAGGAGGAGGAGGAGAGAGAGAGAGAGAGAGAGAGGAGGAGGAGGAGGAGGAGGAGGAGGAGGAGGAGGAGAGAGAGAGAGAGAGAGAGAGTTCAGAGAGGAGGAGGAGGAGGAGGAGGAGGAGGAGGAGGAGGAGGAGGAGGAGGAGGAGGAGGAGGAGGAGGAGAGAGGAGGAGGAGGAGGAGGAGGAGGAGGAGGAGGAGGAGGAGGAGGAGGAGGAGGAGGAGGAGGAGGAGGAGGAGAGAGAGAGAGAGAGAGTTAAGAGAGGGAGGAGAGAGAGGGAGGAGGAGAGGGAGGAGAGAGAGAGAGGGAGGGCCCCCCCTGGGCCGCGCACGTGCTCCGGGCAGTGAACTGCGGGCGCGCCCCCGTCCTGGACGCCGCC